CAGTTCTGTGCCTGCCTGTCTGCGTGTTGACGCACTGCTTGCTCACCGGCATACGAACCGGCTACGTTTGCGTTTACATACTGGAAATATAATCACTACTTAATTCACGACTTGCGTACTTATTGACTCATACGGGATACAACACTGAGGAGAGTTTTATTTTGATTCCTCCTGTTGGATGGTTTTTGAGCATCTGTGTCTAACCTTAGTTGCTAAAAACAAAGCAGTTGGGTTCGCCACAACAACCATGCGAAAAAAGTGATAAATCAAAATAGACTGATAGCATATATAATGCTAAAGAGAGAACAGAATATGTAAGTCGATTAGTCTGATTTGACGTACCACTTTCACGTCCAAACTAATTTGAACACTGCTCCCTTTGATGGTTTCTAGATGCATTCTCCTTCAGTATTTATAGCTTCAAATGTTTTTCGATGGGCAATGATTGGACGATGTCCGATGGCAGATTAATTTTACCCATCATTGAATGATAAATGGGAAATGCATGGCACAGAAAATAGGATAACATGAGAAATTCATCCAATTTGAGTTCGTTTATGCCAGTGTAAATCTGCATTGCTAGTAACGTACCCAATTCAGCGTACAGCGTTATTGCTTGCAATTCGCTTGCAGCATCTCCACTCGGATATTGTCCATGTATAGCGATTATAATTTTGGATTTAGCTGCAGTGTTCGTTTTCCCGCTACAGCACGCCATATCTTCAGACTGAACGGCAGTGATCACTTTAACGCAACTGCCCGATGCAAGACTCTGTAAAATTGAATAAAGTGAACTTTTTTAAACTAGGAATTTCCTACCGTTCCTTGGGTTAAATTTTCATTTTTGGGCCATGACAAAACAACCGCCTTTTAAAGCTTGTCACTTCAAACCAGTCACATGATCCTGTAGCTTCTTGTATCGAAGGGATGTCTGTTTTCGTGACCATCAGCGTGATATCTTTCTTTTTCATACTCTTTGTCTATCACTGTCGGGCGTTCCGTACTTCATTTTCCGCCAATCCTATGCATCATTGCATTAGCCCATTGGAGCAATTGTGGTTCCCATGACGTCAGATGTGCTTTAGTGTTTAAGTCAAACGGCGAATTTATGATCGTATGCTTGCTAGAAAATACACCGACTATTCGCAGTGTTTGTATTGAATCTGATCGTTGGCGATTTTCATGCAATAGAGTTATCATTCACTTCCCTTTTTATAAGTTCAGAATAATTTCTGTTTCTTATTGTTTACCTACGACGTCCTATTATTGCATAGTAGTATCACCAAAGTGTTGCACTCGCATAAGAGTGATGATGTTATAAAACTTACCGCTTAATAGTCGCTCAACCTGACACCAGCAGTAGTAGGAATCTTGGCTACTGCCAATGTGGTTCAATTAAGGAATATCACCCTATTTCATCCCGTTGACGAGAATGAATCATCCTCACCACGCTACTAGAAAACTCCTCCATGATTCTTTTCTGGTTTTCGAATAAATAGAATGACTGATGGACTCTTGATACCATACGTTTCGGGGCTTTATTGATTTCCTTGTATTATGGTCGAATAACAAAACTATTTACACATTTCATTTACTGGTTTGCAAATTGCCTGATTGTGCCCTCTGTTTCACCAATCTAGCCGAGAAGCATGATTTCATTTTATCAGAAATTTCCCAAGCATTTTCTAGCAAAATTTTTCATTTGTACATTTTTAAGCAAAAAGGCTTCCAAGAATGAATGAATATTGTAATATTTTATTGTTGAGCGATATTCCGTTCAACTCCGAATGACCGAAAATTTTGTTGTAGTTACGGTCTAACTTATCGGGAAGATACAGAGTTATCAAAACCGAATAGGTTCCAGAAATCCTTTCGAGTTTCACGAATTCAGAGTACCATTCAAATGACAATTTGATCGACTTTTCTTGGTTATCAATGTTGAATTAAAACCCTGTAATCATATGGCTTCCCAAAACGAAACGGAAACTCGCATAAAATGTCAGGCGTTCAAATGTAATGAATTTGTTTGCGATAACCAAGAAAGAGCACTGGACAGCTGTTTCGACCGGTTTGGGACTCGTCATCAGTGCCTAATGTTTATGTCCCTTTCTGGACTCGAACCGCAATCATTCGGGTCGAAACTTCAAACCCTTTACCCTGAGCTACACGGCCGACGGTCATTATTCTGTGTGAATGGCTCAATCAATTTAAAGTATCAAGACCGTCAAGGGTGCCTAGTTGCTCTGAACAATCGAGTGGGCTAATTCAAGCTTGAGACTAAAACGTCACGCGTATTTGTGAAAACCTCATGTTTTCATTTAAATTCACAGTAAACTGTGTTGTTATTTTTGTTGTAATACATTTGGGTGACCGTTTACTGGTATAGTACGTTGCACATAACACTGTAGTTTAGGTCAAATATATCCGATGGCTATTTTGGTCGGTTTTCTAAAAAAATGGTTCTAGTACACACTTAGTTGTTCGTGAATGCTGTTAAAGTAATCCTGTTCACTAATTATACCTTGGAATTGCAAGAGTTCCCGATATCAACTTTTCTCAGCTTCAATTCAAGGTGTTTTGTTGACCTCATCGGAGTCGCAAGATTCATTTATTTCTCACTCGTTCCACAGCTATCTGGATGAACATCATGTAGCATAAACCTATGAAACTGCCGTTGAATCGCAGTGACAATTGTGCGACGTACCTTGGTCACACCCCAGTTTTTATGATACATTTTTATTTTTCACCTTGCTGTCTTACGCGTCTGTGCGTTTGTCTGAACCCCCCTCCCCTAGGAAAGGTCTTGCCGGGAGATGCTCAGCGGATACCAATGGATCTTGTGAGATAAAGCTTGAGCCATCGTTTACGTCAATTAATAGTGCATTGACGGTGCAATGTAATCCATTATCCTTTCCTCAGGTAGCTGTAGTAGGACATCAATCGACCGTGAGAAATCAAAAATATTGTTTCCATCAATCGAGCAACCGGTGGCAGTGGGTCAGACTACCAAAAATGATCCATCAATTTCCATCAAATTACTCGCAGTATGATAACTATTGACGATTAGTTGAGTGCAATATTTCTTGCAGGATGTTATGATACATTATGACCACCCATTTGATTAGGATTCAGCGGACTTATTCATCATTATCTTTGTTCTGTATGATTTTTCAATGAGACAGGGTTTTTAAGGTTAAATTTTATAAGGTTTGTTAGTAAATGTTTTATCATTTTCAGCTAGTCCTTTCTTATTTGTCAACTTATTTGGCCGACAAAATTTGCGGAGCATTGTGCGAATTTTACTGTGGAATATATTTAGCTCAATGTCTTTTTCCTCTTTGCCTTGGGTTCTCGTTTTCGGCTGCACTAGTAAGATAATTGCATTGAATTAGAGTCGTTTGGCACAACTTTATTCCGAATCCGATCTGTCTTTGAAACTTGTAACCCTGACAATGTTTTATTGATCATCATCTGAAGCCGTCTTAGATGGACAGTCTGCTACCTTTTGCCTATCCAGTTGAGACCGATTTGCTGTTCGCTTGAACCATTGCCTTTGTGAGACAATTTGACTGATCGAGGCAGAATGCTTGAACTGAAATGGTAAAACCTCTTTATTCCATGTGTGACTAAATGCACGTATGCCTTGAAAGATCGCGATTCACTGTTAAACTCCAGTTTAAAATGTATTACGGTTCGGAATAGAGTCCACTGACAGTACCAGAAAAAGAGATAATTTCCACGATTTTTGCTGCTTTGTACGTATTCCAACCTAAATGATATTCTGACATTTATTTGTTAATATTAGATTGTTGGCGACTGCAGTTCTCGTTCTTCTACGGTGTCACTGATGGATAACTAAATGGATGACAAAGGCAATGCGTACATTAGTATCATCCCTGATACTTTGATGCATGCACTGACGCATTCAATCCATATATTATATTTGTTTATTCAAGCAACAATCATGGTGACAAATTTTCTATGAACGAAAAGCATTAGGATCTATCGATTTAGACGGTTGTCCCAAAAATTCTTTATCTTTTTCAGTTCAGAGCGGAAGTACCCTAAGCGTATGCGCGCCAGATGACCTAAGAAAGAATAATGGTTTCACAGAAATCCACTCTACCATCACAATAGGTTAAGTATGAAATACAAGTCAATTTAAGTCAAGCCAAGAAATACGTTTTCTGCACCCAAGCGGTGAATTTTCAGCAATTTACGTTTTTTTAGTGGATATATAAAAGCAATGGAAAAGAAGAAACACAATACAAGAAATCCTATACGTAACTAAATGCAGGGGAAATAGTGCAAGAGGTTTTTTCTGTGGTGGCTGAGAACAGATTAACGATTGACCAATAACCGAGTAAGGTATGGAATTGCACTGTTGCTATATGACGAATTACGCGCAAGAAGGAATTGATATTCGGTGCTAGTTCGGCACGGCGTTCGCGATAACTTGGTTCAGACAGTGCCTGGAGAGTTACAACGAAATCTTTCCGAAAATAAATTGTGCAGCATTCGGCTACCGTGTTCTTTAGAGACATGTATCCGATTATACCATCGCCTCGTCTATGAACCAGGACGGATTCTTCAACTCGGCAGATGGAGCAATTGTTCATTTTGACAAAGTTGTCATCAATTCATTGTGGAGCCCGCTCTCCTGGAGCATTACGTGGCAACTTTGAAATATGCACGTCTCCCTGTCAGATCGTTCACTTCTGCCATATTACCAATCCAGGAGCTCAAATGTCTACTGATGAATGCTGTAGACGGAGCCTTTGAATAGTGCCGCCTACCAATTAGCTTTATGCATTTTGGGACATTTTTTGAGATTTCCGTAGACTCTTCCCTCTCCAGTATCAACCGATTTTCCAAAAAGCAGGTAAATACACTGGCCGTAGTTTTCAAGGTGCGTCATCTGTAAGTGCATTCAGGTTCCATTTAGTCTTCAAATCCGTTCCCGGTGTGGTTCATTAGTTGATAATCTCACTGCTATTAAAGCTAACAATCAAGGCATTCCCAAATCTGTATCTGTTGTATAACTTTGTTTCACCCTAACCCATAACCTGTCCTGGTCTGCTCGCATCAACAGCGTCTTCACAAAAGTTCGAAAACTGTCTCTCAATGCTTACAGGCTCAGGAAACTGACCGTACCATATAATATTATTCTTAAATTTATGAATGCCCGCATTCTTCTACACTGTATATACTGCTCTCCAATTGTTATCCCTGAAGTGAGAGAAAGAGACCACAATTCATTTTCGACCTCCGTAAACCAGTGTCCCTTTACAGTGCAGTTGATAGAGTTGTTTAAGTTTTTCTTGACTTGAATTGACTGACGTGTATGTGTGGTTAGAATAAGGGAAGGACTTAATTTCGGTCTGTATCGCAGCATACCCACGTTGCAAATTGTTTCGATGTAACTAAATGCAGTGAATCAAGTGATTTCTACAACAAGCTTGGAAATATTAGCATCTAAACCCGTTAGTGTATTTGACACCAGCTTCACGAAAGTGATAAACTTGTGTGATGGATATACGGCTGCAAGCTTGAAGTTTGCAAACAAACCTCAATCAAATTGAATCCAACTTGTACATACTGANACATACTGATATGTGGAAATAAATATTTGATACTTAGTAAAAATAAGCAGAAAGGCTGTTGGAGATTTTCAAACATGTAATTTATAATCCAAATATCTGTTTCCTCATCATGGGA